GAGAGAGAGAGAGAGAGAGAGGGGGGGGGGGAGAGAGAGGGGGGCGTTGAGTAGCAGAGTTCATGGTAAACGGCGTATTCTACCCCCCGGTTTTGTTGCGTCGTAAGAGGGGCTGGATAGCATCCGCAGCTTCGGCGCCAAACGTGATTGAAAAGATGGACCCTCGCGTAGGCAATGCAAAACAATGGAATGCTGCTATTTCCGGCGTTTTCAGGCGTGAGCTCCCTGCACGCGCCTATGCGAGGTAGGCTCGTGGCGGCGTGGTCTACTCTACCTCCCGCCTGGAGGCGCCTGGGGGCGCCTGGAGGGCGGGCCGGCCCGCTCAGCACGAGTGCGTGTCGCTTGCCTACCTCGCAGGCGCCTACAGGGAGGTCTACACTACCTCCCGCCTGGGGGCGCCTGGAGGGCGGGCCGGCCCGCTCAGCACGAGTGCGTGTCGCTTGCCTACCTCGCAGGCGCCTACGGGGAGATCACGCCTACAACCTGTCATTTTAATTTGCGCCCAACCCAACAGAGTGGGTTTCGTCGTTGTTAGCCGGGTACCACTGTACCACAACTTCTGCCGCCAAAAATTATCTCTACCATCTCTCGTAAAAAAAAAAATCCTCAGCTTGTTTTTATTTTTTATGATTTATTTTAGTAGATTGACAACATTTGTAGAGTGGTCCTGACCTAGTTTCGTCTCGGCCCGAACATCAACAATGAATGGAGTTATCACTCCGTCATCCCCGGGTACCGCTGTACCCCGCGCAGAGTCAAGCCATATAAACGTCACGGGGACGGACGTCAGGGATATGCATCGGTGACATCGCTGCAGCGACAACACTGGAGCAGGCATCACCACGCTACTCCACTACAGGTCTTCTCCCGCTGTGTCTGTCTCTCTCTCTCTCTCTCTCGAGCGCGGGTCTATGTGTCAGCGGGACTTTAAAGTCCTTTTGCATAGGCCCTAATAAATCAATTTCAATTTCTCTCTCTCTCTCTCTCTCTCCCTCCCTCTCTCTCTCTCTCCCTCTCTCCTCGCGCGGGAAAACCGACGTCGTTGCGCATTCAGCAGGAGAGGCCGCGAATGAAGTCAACTCGCTCCCTGATGCGTGGCGCGTATGACGTCCCCGTGGCGGGGCGGGGCGGGGCGGGGCGGGG